CTAAATTATTTTTCGTTATTTAAATTTCATATTAGCTCAAGTACATCAAATATATAATTATTTAGAGTTGATATCTTGTATATATTAACTATTATTTTTATAAAACATAAAGACTTATCTTAATCTCTTAGTCAAATTATTAACATAGATATAAGAATATGTTAAAAATATAAATATAAATTTTTATATGTTATTTATTTTGTTAAAAAAAATTAATGTATCAAACTTATGATTTCGATTGAATATAATTTACATTCTTAAAAAGGTTAAATCCATCTAAACAATTATTATTTTATAATTTTTTATATTATAAAATTATTTTAATGTTCGTTGGGAACAATAAATTACCAGGCGTGCCAAAAACGCTAAGTTTAAATTAATGACAAAGGGTTCCCGGGCTCCCTTACCTAGATGTAAAAGATACGCAAGAATTGATAAAATAAATGTTTAATTAATGCTAAAGGATTACAAAGTGTAAAAGATTACAAGGCTGGAAATGTAAATAAAGTTAATCATAACGTCTTTCACATGGTCTGCAAAATGCATGGCACAGTCTATTATCAATGTGTTCCATTATTGAAGAACCAGCCCTGCCTCCAAGATATTCGGGAATAGCGATCATGTCTCCGCGAGATTCGGGACCATTTGAAATTGTGATTTTATGTACTAACAGTCTAAGAAGTGAGTTCACAACTGATAGGATCTTGATGTGTTTATCGAAACCAGTCTTTCTCTTGGGATTTAGGCTAAACCTTTTGTTTAGGTTACTAATTGAGCCTGACTCTTCAGTTACTTAGCCCATATGAGGTTATGGCCTTTGGCAGGCTACGTTTCAATTTTAGCCCAAACATTTAATAATATATTTTATTTTAATTTTATAAAATAAACAAACAATGAATGCCCCTGCACACATGTATATATATATATATATATTATTTTTTAAATTTGGCACGCACCTCTAAGTTTTAGTTCCGTCCTTGGGTAAAATGAAAATTGAAGCCCATAAATTAAAATTCTTTGAATTAATCATTAGGTTACTTCTCATTTCTAACTTTGAGTACTTTCTCATAATCTTATTATCTTTGTTTACACAAAATCACCTTTAAATATTGATAATTATCATTTGGTTTCGGTTAGGCAATTATTCTTATTCATTTTTCTTCTTCTTTTTGGATAGGCAATTATATATCACAAAGGTTCCTTTGTTCTTAAAGCTATATAAGAAAATTCCAATAATATGCTATTTGTAATAGTTAATCAAACTTAAGATGTAGTTCTAAACTCATCTCAAGCCATTGTCTTCCTAAAGAATTGCAATGTATATTTTATGACATATTAATTTTTTTACTAGATCTACTTTGATCATGAGATCTAATTGTACTCTTGAGATCTAAGTGTGATCTTATTGAGCATTCTTTGGATATATTACAATCCCTAGGATCTAGCTATAATCATTCTCTATGAGACTTAGGGCATAATGGTAAAGTTATCGAATAACTTTATTTCTGTTTAATTTGACAATTGTATTGATTATTCTTTAAGACTAATTTTAAATACATTTGTTACCCTCCCATGCCTTATTTATTTCTTTTTGCCTGTCCTAGACTATTCTGAACTTTAACTTGCTCATTGTTTAATTCTAGATACTTTCTTGAAGTTTATGCAAATATTATACTTTTGCCCCAGAAAAACTTTTAATTATGATTTGGTCCCTAAGAATTGTACTATACATCTTTTTCAAGGAACCTTTGGGACTCTTGATTAATTGGGCTTAGAAGCTTAAATTTTGGATGTTACATTAAATCCATAACATTATTTGTTTTTAAACATTAAAGCAATTCAGTAACACTACTAGAAAAATATAAAATAGTAAGAGAATTTAGCAAGGGATCATCTATTCTTCTCTAAAATATCAAATTAGCTAGGAAATTAGTGAGAAATATTAATTTTATAGCTTAACTTAAAATTATCAAGGAAAATAGCGAGGGACTGTCAATCTCTCTCTAACATAAGAGAATTAGTGAGGAAAATAGCGAGGGATGCCAATTCCTCTCTAAAATAAGATAATTAGCGAGAGATTCTGTCCCTAGCTAATTACTATAAAAAAATTTAACTCTTGACAATGACTTTTAATTATATATTTAATTATTTTTATTTAAAAATAAAATTAAATTTAAAAATTAACTAAAATATTCATAATAAAATTATTTAATATTTTCTTTATTTTAAGTTTATTTTCATTAATAAAATAATATTTTATTAAAAATATAATATAAAGAATAATTTAAATAAAATATAAATATTTTTAACATATTAATAATTGAAAATAAAAGTTAATACGTATATATGTGTGTATTTTTATAATATATTATTGGATATATTTATATAGTTAAATAATATATATTTAATTTTTCATATAATGACTACACGTGTCTTTCAGTTCAACTGGCAAAAAAGGAGAGTATAAGACTTGAAAGGTATGAGGTCAAAGGTTCAAGTGTTGACTTTGGCATAAACATGATGAACATATGACATGATAAGGAGCAAGTGATATGGTGCAAGGTGGACATTGACATGTCATGAGTTGTCGCACATGTGGTGGGTGATGGGGCACGAAATGGTAGGTGACATGACAATTGATAAGGCACGAGATTGTTGGTAATATGTTACAAGTTGACATACACATGACGGATGATATGACATCATTATCTTTAAATATAGGTATATTTAGCGAGGAATCAATCCCTTGCTAAAGTTATCGAATTTGCAAGAGAATAGCGAGGGATTCAGTCCCTAACTAATTTTAGCGAGATACTGAATCCCTCGCTAATTCTCGCTAAATTTAGTGAATCCTTTTTTAACTATGAATTTAGCGAGGGATAATTTTTCTCGCTGAAATGCAATTTAGCTTGGGAAAATGACATTTAATGCGGAACAATCCCTCACTAAATTTTATTTCTCTGGTAGTGTAACTTGTACTAAAAATTTATTTCAATTAAGTCATCTAATCTTGTAGTGTAATTTCAAAGTTTTTAAAATTTGATTTGTAAATAAATACTTGTTGTGGTCTTTATATGAAATACTACTTTTAATTTTATATATAAATAAGGATTGTTATTTTCATAAGTAATTTGGTATAAAAAATAGATTATTTATAGTTTAATTTAATTTATTTTTTTCCAAGTTTTATGAGTAGATTAAAATGTTAGATATGAAAAAATATTGTAAAAAATTAATATTACTAACAATTTAAGTATTTAACTACTTTTCATTTGAATGAGTTACTCAAGCAGTATGTGTGTACGTATGTGGGAGTGTAATTGCATTGCTTGCTTTTCTACGTCAAATCAAATCTGTGCCCAGTCATTGCGGTGCAGACTTGTCGCGGCCCTTGTTTTTATTCATGCATGAAAAGACATGTCATGATGGAATGAAATGAAATCAAGACTTGGCAAAAAAATGTTTTTTTTCTTTCTTTTTTTTTTCGCCAAAGATCAAGACCTAGCAAATGCAAAACGAAATTTGTAGTTTAATTTCATGATGTACGGATATAGTAGTTCAATGCAAAATGAAACAGGATAAGTAATATTATACAAAAATGAATGTAGGATCTCATATTTTTCTAGACCTATAATTTAAAAATTAATTTATTAATTTATATTTTTATAATATTAATTTACTGAAAAATTATACCCTGTCAATTGATTGAAACTAAAGTTCTTCTCAGACTATACGAAATTCATCAATTTTTTTTTCATAACAGCGAGATTCATCAATAAATTTTATTATATAAAAGTTCAAAAGGTAGCTTCACAATGACATATATATATATATATATATAGTTAAAAAGATGAATTGACCTAATATAAGGATACTTTGATCATTGTTATAAACCATAGGTAAGAAGAAATAGACTGAATTAGCGTTACCTTGGGCAAATGATCAATGACTTAGTACTATTTGTTGAAGGGACCATATGGGATAACACTATGATTGGTTTAATATTTTAAAACACTTGTAATTTCTTATCCTGTTTAGGTTAATCTAATAAATTTATTGTAATTATTATATATTAATTTAATATTTATTAGAATATTTTATTTTATTATATATCCTTGTATGGTAATTAATAAATAAACACGATAAAATTCACGATTTTTCTGGTTTCTCTTTTCTTTAATTTAGACTAAAATATGCAAAAATTTTTTAAATTTTGAGGCAGTTGTTTAGAATTATTTCATCTTTAAAAGTTTAAAATTAACCTTTTAACCTTTGTTTTTTACCACAAACTCTTCTACTATTATTTTTTGTTATCTTACTAATAGAAGTTATTATGTCATATTAAAAAAAGTTATGTAATAGATTATGCGGCATTTGATGTAAGCTAACAATGAAAAAAAATATGAATACAATTTTTATAAAGCTACTATATATTCGCTTACATTGGATACCAAATAAGCTGCTATGTGTCTTTTTTTCAATATGACATAACAATTTTTATTAGTAAGATAACTAAAAAATAATAATAGGAGAGTTGGTGGTAAAAAAAAAAAGAGATTAGAGGTCAATTTTAAAACTTTTAAAGACAAGGAGGTTTTGTATAACTGTATCAAAGTTGAGAAGAGTTTCGTATGTTTTAACCTTGAATTTATGCAAGCTTATTTAAAATTAAAGATGCACATGTATCTCACAGATTAGCTAACAAAAATTTAAAATTTAAAGGACTCGTTCTCTTGTTTTATTTGTGCACGACTAAGAGAGATAAGTTTAATATAATTTAGACAATTACAATTATAAGGCGTCGCGTATTTGGTTCAATATTCAAATTGCAATGAGCTAATCATGCAGAGCAGTCAACTCTCCAACCACAAGTCGTGGTAATTTGAAATGTTGTTGCATGGGCACGTGATGCTCCTTCCTTTACTAAGCTGCATTCTTCTACATGATGTGTGTGTTTATATATAGACACATGCAATAATAAACACTCACACACGTCAAGCATTTCCTTCTTTTGTGTAGACTTCTAAGATCTCTTTCTTAATTCAGAATTTGTCAGTAATTTCAGGCACTATGGCTGTGAGTTTAACCTTCGCCAGAGAAACCAACCAGGTATTATTTCCTTCTTCTGCTTCTAATCTAAGCCTTTTGCTTCCATTTTACCATTGATCACGCGAACCCACATATGCTATCATTATTAACTGACAAAAACAGCCTATTTAATTTGCTGATTTGTGTTGTCAAGTTTCGATTGTTTTTGTCAAACAATTAAATCTCAAATTCATTAGTGGTTCTAAATTTCTAATACATATGTTGCATGGTTTTGCGTCCTCCAGGTGCTTTTCGCAGGAAATGAGTGTGTGAAGGAAGTGATACTAAATAGGCCTCGCAAGCTTAATACCCTTAATCACAAAAATGGTTAGAATATAATTCACCCGTAATGAGAATATCCATATTTTTTCTTAACTGATTATTTTATAGTCTTAATCTTAACTCATTCTATTATTTCGAAGGTTTGTCAAATCACACAGAATTTAACGTTGTATGAGACTGATCCATCAGTGAAATTGGTGATTTTAAAGGTAGAAGTAGGGTTCGTAACTCTCAGCCTCTATTCAACTCTATTCTGCTGCATCAAAAAATCCAACTTTTCCAGTCATATGGTTTTTTCCAATGAAATTATTAATATTGAGCCAAATATCTATCTCCCTATAGAAATTGTTAATCCAACTTTTCCAGTCATATGGTTTTTTCCAATGAAATTATTAATATTGAGCCAAATATCTATCTCCCTATAGAAATTGTTACATGTAAAGCGTTTCTATTTCAACACAGGGTAACGGAACAGTTTTCTGTGCCGGCGGTGATGTCATATCAGCAGTTACTTCTTCACTCTCAGGTTTTGTGTTGAAATAAATAAACAAATAATGTACATACGCCCAAGTGTGTGTGTGTGTTTATAATCTTCAATGATATTCATGTGCAAATGCTGATTGGTAATAGGACACTGGACCTACCCAGCGAGCTTTTACAAGAAACAACTTACACTGGACCATTTAATGGCTACCTGCAAAAAACCTGTGGTAAGCTATCTAGTCCCCACATTATTTTCCAATTTCAAAGAAGGAAGAATTATATTTAAGAACCAATATGGGAAGTTAATCTAATGTTTAAAGACCTTGAGATAATGAAATTAAGACAACAGAAAAGAATTTGTGGTGTGTTTAGATTAATGAGGATTTTGATTTGAATCAAATCTCTCTCTTGAATACATAAAAAATTATGAATTTTTAAATTATAATTCTTTTATAATTTCAAATTCTCTTTACATCTTAGTTATTTAAAATTTTAATCATTTCAAATATTTTTTTTTGTGTTTTCACTATTAATGCATTTAGGACTCAAATAAACTCATCATTTTTAAATTACACAAAAAAAAAAGATTTTAAATACATGAATTTCAAATATGAGAGTTAAACACAAGACTTCAAATCTAAAATTCAAATCTAAATTCATAATCCAAAGGTTATCTAAAGTAGTCATCTCCAAGGAATTCAGTATTAAGACAAACAAAATTGCATAGTCACATATAGGAATTTTTAGAGCATTTTATTTCTGATGTATGACTATTAAATTTTCTGTGTCTTACATACGACTACCAAATTTTCAATGCGTGATTACTAATCGGGGTAAACTATTTGTTTCACAGGCTTCTTTATATATATATATATATATATATATAATTTATCTTGTATGGGCATTTTAGATATTAAACATTTTTTTAAAGACATTGAATTAAAAAATTTAAGGTCCTTATCTATAAAAAAAACTTGTTATTTGGGCCTTTATGCATGATTCTCCTTTCAAAGAATGAATGACTTTTTTTTTTAAGATATGAAAGTGAAATAGGAAATGTTTGAATATATCTAAAGGTGTCTATCATCAACGGAGTGGTCATGGGAGGTGGGGCAGGCTTATCCATGAACACAACTTTTCGGATTGTCACTGAAAAATCTGTATGTTTCATCTTCTCTCCTCTTTTCATCATTACAACTCATACTTATCCTCACAACTTTATTTGTCTGTTTAGTAATAATAAATTTTTGTTATTAATATTATTAACATATTAAAATTTATTTATTTTGATTTTATCAGATAAATGTATATATTAATTATATAAGGTTAAGTACTTATAGTGTCATCCTTTGTTATATAGTTCTTTGCTATGCCAGAGATATCTATAGGACTCTTTCCAGACGTTGGCGCTTCTTACTTTCTCTCCAGGCTTCCTAATCATTTTGGTAATATTTTACTCTATCCTTTGGTTAACTGTTGCATTTTGTTCCACATACATTTTACTCTAATTGATAAATTAATGTCAAACTTAAGATTAGCTTGCATATCACTTGTCTATATACTGTTAACTGAACAAAATTGGTCATGGCAGATTGTTTCTGAACTGGAAAAACAACCAGATGAAAATAAGTTTATCTGTTAACAGTTTATTTTAGCTAGCTGTTACTACTTTGGTTTACTTATGCAATTTATATAAAGGGGAGTACTTAGGGTTAACAGGAAGGCGCTTGAATGGAGCAGAAATGGTTAAATGTGGCCTTGCTACTCATTTTGTCCCTTCCAAGGTACATGTATTAATCCATCCCCACCCTCTATATTAATTAATTATTCTCCTCCACAGCTTCATGTTAATTAAATATACTGGCCGGGAACTATGACATATTAGTTAGAAAAATTCACCTCACTTTTGCTCTCTGTGCAACACAGAAACTGAATTTTCTGGAAAATGCCCTGCAAAATGTGACAACATCAGATATATCAACAGTTACCGCATTAATCGATAAATTTACTGAAACAGCTTATCTTATGGAAGACAGCCCCTTGAAGAGGTAATAATCCTGTGAATTCATATGCACGCATTCTTTTCTTAGTAGATCATTATACATACAGCTACATGTAGAAGCTGTATTTAAGTATTTTTCTTTAATTGTATTTCATGACTAAGTCAAATTTTGACAAACTAAACAGACTAGACAAAATCAACAAATTCTTCTCGAAAGGCACTGTTGAGGAAATTATTTTGTCCTTGGTAGGTGCCATCTTTTTAATTTGATGTGACAAAAATTTTTCGTTTGTCCTGGTTATTACTTAGACAAGAATGGATTTAAATCATCTGAAGTTCAGATATGTGAAGTTTTTCTTTTTTAGCAATTCTTTCTATTTTATTTTTTATAAAAAATAAAATATTCTCTTTATTTAAAAAAAAAAGGCAAACTTCACAAATCTCAACTTCAAAGGATTTAAACCTGACAATAGCTTATTTGGATGACATCTTACGCATTGAAATTTGATAGGGAAAAGAAATAGAAATCAACGGAGCAGAGAAGTGGATCACCGATGCTATGACTTACATGCGTACATCCTGTCCGACAAGCCTCAAGATATGGCTTAGATCTGTGAGTATGAAAAATAATATGCCAAATTGTCAGTAATTTGGAATCTCAAATGATTGAGACTACGGAATCATAACCAATTCGAATGTGATTTAGGTGAGAGAAGGCCGATCACAAACCATTGAACAATGTCTTCTACGAGATTACAATATTATGTGCCATATCTTGCGAAGAACTGTCAGCAATGATTTCTACGAGGTAATTGGTACTATAACAAGTACAACTCAACTAATTTAAGTCCCTTGTATTGTATAGAATTTGAAAAATGACTTGCCTAGATTATTGCTCATGAATAGTATAATTTATTGGAGTTTTTATATTATACATAAATTAACTGATGAATATGTTATTAATATGATGAATATTTTCTATTGTTGATCGGTTAAACAAATTAGTTTATAACAAAGTCCAATCATGAAGCAAAACTTTCCTCTTCATTCGTCATAGTAAAAACTATCATTATCTTAATTATATGTATTTTATTTATATTGAGGCTAGTTTTATTTGAGAAATCCTTAGCAAGCTCGAACTTGATGTGTCATTGTCCATGACCCTTCGTGCATACACTTGACAGGGTTCAAGAGCAAAGCTATTCGATAAAGACAACAAGCCTGTGGTAAGAGATAGTACTCCCCTCTCTAACGCTGAATTATTTCAAACTTATGCAAAAGAGAAATTGAAATCATACACATACATTTATTGAGACTCGATTAAAAGATTGGCGTACGTACGGCTCTGAATCTCTAAAGCGCCACTCAGCTAAATTTTTTTATTTACTGATCTCTACTATGATGATGACCGATGATGATCATAGTAATAATAAGACATGACACAACTAAGCTTAACTTTTTTAAAAAAAAAAATGAAAGTGGCATTGACCTGCACGTCGGCATAATTAGAAATGTTTGTTGCGTTCGTTTGTGTCTTTGTCTTGTGATCAGTGGGATCCTCCGAAGCTGGAGCAGGTTAGCGAGGAAATGGTAAATCAATACTTCGAAAAAGTTGAGGATGAGAATTGGGAGTGTCTGCAATTTCCTGATAGATCAAACATCCCCAGCAAACTCTAGATTGAACCCCATTGCAATGCTTGTGGCTTCCAAAGAACTTTGTATCAACGCGAACAACATGCTTATTTAATTGTATTTGTAGTATAATATAATAATAAATCAATCAAGATGCAATTTCCATAATAAAACCTTTTGGTTTTGGCAACAGCAATAATTGATCTGAGCTCAGTCACATAAAAATTATAAGTTGCATTCTTCAAGTTTATGCAAAGATGACGAGCATGGATATGTATGTATGTATCCCAAGACTTAATATACATTTTTTTATTGGAGGCAATTAATCTTGTTTTAGATAGTCGAACATTAAATGTGAATACCGTTTTTAATGAAAATACAAATCTTAATTCATTATATTGTAAAGAATTAGTCCTTTCCATGAGATCAAACTCATTGGTTTTTTACTGTTGAAGAATTGGATTTAGATGATGAAACATTACACCTCACAAAAAGTAAGGTTTAAAGTTTAAACGTGAGTGGCCGCCGGCAGCAGGGCAGGGCAGTGAGCAGGAATCTTTTTGTTTTTGGTAGTAGCAGAAATCTTTTAAACACAGTCGAATTTTTGGAGCTCATCGGGCTTGTATTTGACATGGTCTCAGAAACGCTAATAGAGGGGGAAAGAGGGGGGGGGGTATGGGGGGAAGCAGGGGCAGGTATTCTAATTTAAAACAAGAATGGATAAAGTTATTGCCAACTCTTTGTTTACTGTATTTCTTATATTATTTTCTTTTTAAATAAAATTAAATTTATTAAACACAATATAAAATGAGTAAAAAGTTATACTCCATTCGTTCAAATATCTCAGTCATTTTTTAGAAATTGAATGTTAAAAAATATAAAAAAATTTTAATTTTTTAAGATATAATTATTATCTTTTTTTTTTAAGTGTCCCTATTGAATAAATAACTTTATATTTATTTTAGAATGTAAATGAGGGTAAATAGAAAAGATAGAATTAATTTAAAGATAAATAACTATTTTATTAAAGAGTGAAATTTAATTAAAAATTTTTATATTTAAAAAAAAAGAGTATATATTTATAAAAATATATATCTATATATATATAACCAAAAGAGTAATAGACACAGGCATTATGATTTGGACCGACAAAAGGACAAGATGCTAATTAACAAGCAATAGCCACATATAAGGTCTGAGGTGACGTTGCATTGAGAATTTTCAAACACTGATCCAACTTACATCAGAAGAACACACGAGTGAGGATAATTCCGACACGTTTCCAATTTCCGTCCACCCTCACATTTCATCAGTAAAATATATTATATCCAAATTGAAACACAGTTTCACACTCACATACTAACACATCGACGAACTCAAGCAATCCTACTTTTTTTTTTTTGTGGGTTTAAACAAGCAATCCTACTTTGATCTAGAAAAGAAAACAAACCAAAACTTGGATTAATAGAAGTAAAGCCTCCATCCAATGCAAGATCATGTCCACTGATGTACTTGGATTCATCACTAGCCACATATAGCGCAGCTTGAGCCACATCTTCCCCCTGCAGATAAACCCCTTCAAGATTAGAATAAACAGTCGAGCATCCTTCATCATTTAATTTGAAGAAATATCTTTTGCAGCAGCATTTGCAACGAAATATGGGGAGACACAGTTCACTCGGATTCGAAATTTGCCAAGTTCAGCGGCCACATTCTTGGTGAGACCCACCAAGCCACATATAACGCATGTGTTGCATCCCCTCCTACATGGGAAGAAACGCTACCAGCCATTATTATGCTTCCCTTTCTCTCAGGAATCATAATTTTACCAGCATCCTTGGTGCCCAAGAAGTAACCTGTTAGGTTCACCCTAAGAACACGTTCGAATTCGTTGGTTTCATCGTCGAGAATGCTTGGTTTAGGTTCACCTATTGTGGCAACATTGTTCACCATTAAGTCAAGCTTTTCATGCTTAGAAGTAGCAGTGTTTACGGCCGTTTCAACGTCGGATTCTTTTGTAACATCACAGTGAACGTAGGAAGCATATTTGGATCCAATATCACTGCATACAGCTTGCTCTTGTTGGTCTCGAATGTCTGCAATTACCACCTTAGCCCCCTGTCTGCTGAAGAGCCATGCCATGCATGCTCCTATTCTTCTAGTCCCACCTGTGATCAGTGCTTCTTTTCCTTATAATCTGCAAATATGCATGTCCTCGAAGGACATGTACACACTTACAAGCACAATTTCTATAGTTAAAGGAATGAGAAGTACAGCCTTATAGTTTATTGTTAATGTGTATGTATACATATGTATTCATGAATATAATGTGTGCATATCTATGTAGTCATTAACATATTAAGATTTCGTATTCTTATAATTATAAGATGTCAAGTAGGGATTGTCACATCGACATGACTTCCATGTAGGAAGAAGCAAAAAGGTCTCACATATCAAATAGAGTTTTATGTTCACAAATGAGAGGTTAACTCAAATGTGTTAATTAGTTGGACTCAAAAGTATTCTTAGACTAGAGATTGTGCAATAGTAATACAAACGATTCTTTTTCCCCTATCTGAAACACACCAGCAACTCAGATCTTTACTTTAAATGTACAGATAGCGGCACATTAAAATCTATTGCATTAGAGCTATGTTTATGAGAAATAGCATATATATTTGGGATTTATGTTAAGGTTAAGGAGTTTAATGACCCTGAAATTGATAACAATATTAAAATTAATGATATCATATTTGAATTATAATTTGCTTTCAATTTTGAAATGGATTAAATAAGATGTAATTTGGCTAAGTGGAAATTACCTTTGGTGTTGACCCATAGGTTGAGTTGAACCCTTTGGATGGAAGGAGGTGTATTTTATTTTCTTAGACTTGTGAAATTACATTTATGCACTTAAAAAAAAAAAAACAGCTTACTAGATCTTTCCTCCTCCCTAGCTCCTATCTCCATTTTTTCCACTTGCGATTATGAGTTCAGAGAGAGAGAGAGAGAGAGAGAGTCAAATTCTCATCCGTCTTCTTCCCTCCCTTCGTCCTCTTCTTTTGTCATTCTCTGTCTTCCCGTTCATTGCCAGAGAGTGTGTGTGGAGCAGCTTAGCTCAATGACACTGGATTTTTGTGCTGGGCATTGAGGTTCGTTTGCTTCTTCGTCGTTTGTGACATTGCTCCAAGTGTGTGGAAGTTCTAAGCTTTAGTTCCTTTTCCTCTTGTTAACCGCTTGAATTTCATGTCATTTCATGATATTTTTCTCAAATTATAATATATTTTAGCATAATTATTTATATTTTGATTGTTTGAATTAGAAAAATGTATATGTTATTTTAGATTTGCACACTTGGCTTTAATTTAATATTTTTGGCCTTAATTTATATTATTTTAATTTAAGGTTTGGTGAAAATATTTCAAGACCCATGGTGATACTTTTGGATGAGAAAAATCAAGTCCGAAGATGATTATTTTTGCCAAGTGAGAGAAGTGTGAAAAATTGACCAAAGTCGTAACTTTGTTTGCAACTTTCGCTGTTGTTAGTAAAACATTGCATTTTGCTTAGCTAGAAATAAGTGGGTATGATGTATATATGCTGCTTACTTGACCCATAACACATTCTTTAGACTTTAATCCACCATTTGGAGCTTTGCATGTTAGAATTTGGGCATTGGATGAGCTTGGTGCAAGGAACTGGAGTTTTGAAGACATTTGAAATTCTTTTTTTTTTTTTTGCTTTTCTATTCATCTTCCCTTTCTTCTCTTATATTAATATAGGTCCAAATAATTTGTGTGTACACCAATCTTTTCCTCTCTTTTTGTGATTAATGATTTGTATGTATTTATTTTACTCTTCTCTTAATGCTTCTAAGTATTTGACCACCATTTAAATGTTGAGTTCACTTGATTGATGTTTGAAAAGGCTAAGTTGAGTATAGAAGTTGGGTAAAATAGTGCAAGAACCATGTTAAATAGATGGTTTTGTTAGTAAAATAAAGATATACTTATAACCTTGTATAGCCACATTACAGTTGGTACTTAAAATTAAGTTTTATTGATCGTATAAAAAGAGATTGAGCAATTAATTTAACCAAATACTTGTTTATGGTTTAAGAGAACTTATTCAAGTATTTTTGAAACTCTAGATTAACACTTATTTTTATTAAAAACATTTATAAAAGAAGGAAATTTTAGTGTTATGAAATGCAAGAAAGATAAATAATTAATTTTAATATTTTTAAAACTCTAGGTTAGCACTTGTCACACCTCGATACTAAGGGTATGGTCGTCATAGAATATGAGGTAAATTCATATTTCACAAGCCTTGATTGACTAGAGTTTAAGCGAAAATACCGATATATGTAAGTTATATATTGATAATAAAGTTCGTAAAGTTTAAATATTTTGTAAAAATTTTGGTAGAGTCTCTCCTATAATTTATACCTCCTGAAATTTTCACAAACTACAAAACCTATTAGCCCAACCAGTAAGTAGACTAGCTCCATTCCAACAATTTACATAATAATAAAATAAGACTAGGGCCTAACCATGGTATACATGGAGCACTAACTTATAATTTACAAAATATAGTATAAGGTTTCACTAAAAAGAATATTCACCATGTGCTTCCTTTTTCAAAAAACAAGAAGTTCCTCAATGGTCAACTAGAGATGCAAGGTCAGCTACAATATCTGAGACCAAAGAAATTACCAGTGAGTAGCTTTCCAATCAAAATTATAATGAAGAAAATATAAGGATAATAAATAATAAATTTAACTTCAAATGACTTAATGAAATAATGAGTTATCCTTAATTAGTAATAAATATTAATTTTTTTCTAATAGTGTGATCGTGAAATTAAATAATACTGGTAGAATCACATATATGTATTAAAATTTTTTACTACTCATAAAATATAAAAATTTACAATAATAATGTAGTTTGATAAAGTACTTTTAGAGAATTACTAAAGAAATGTAAATTTTAGTTTAGATTTTGGAGGACTTAATCAGAACGAATAACAAGTGTGGACACACAATTTACAAGAATAAGTAACCAGTTAAACATGGCTAGGAGTCATGAAACAAGCGTGACAAAAGCAATGAATCAAGCACATGTATGAAACCCACGAAAACAAGTATGAATACAGTGCTCATGAATAGCATTCCTTTGATCCATGTGTGTTGGCTTTCACACAAAGCTAGCACCTTCTATAACACCTTGCTAGCTAAGCGTACCTTAGCGTGCTAAGGGCTAATGGAACTCTTGTTAGCGTCCAGCATTCTGAACTTAGTCCCTCTCATTAAA